CAGTCCTGTATTTCGCAACCAAATATAAAATATTGTTATTCTTTTTTAACACATTTGAACTTTTCGAGTTGTTACTTTATTTTCTTTTACATATACTTGTGCAGTATAACCCTTGTTCGGACTCGACTTGCATTACGGCCGGCGACTGATTGATTTCGTCTACATAAGATCAAATCACAACGTGGGTAGGTTAGACTAGAAATCAAAGCAGTTACTTCGGTAACCAGACGTTGGAGGCGAGTTGGAAACGACAGGGCTGATACCGAATTTAACCAGATTCCCATCCGAATCAGCAAAGGGTTAGAACGTCACATTTGGTGCCGCGACCAATACCAAGTCACATTGGTCGTCACAGGACAGGATAGGACGGCGACGGCGCGGAGACAGACGGGGTGACGCCCAGGCAGACGTCACATTTGGCGCAGCGAACCCGGGGTGATGTCACAGTGTACATAATAGCTCATCTCAAAAATGTAGACAGATACTGAAACGCCGAAACTTTGTAATAAATAAGGCGACAAAGATGAGGACAATAGTCCGAATAATGTAAATAGTATACATAATACCTCATCTCAGAAATATAGACAGATACATCAGGAAGCTCGTTGATGAAAATTAGCGACAATTAGGAGGAAGAAAAAATAATCTAAATTGCCAAACTCAGTGTTCGAAATAGAATCCCTACTTTCCATTACTACACAGTATAAAACAATAATTAACAAATAATGGCGTCTTTTATTTTAATCCTTGTTCTACAATGTCAATTGACAGGTTCTTTTACAACGGCTTATCTTTTTCCAAGGGATAGATAATAATGGTTTATTAATACTAATCGTACTATTTAACCCATAGCTGAGGGAAGATGTTGAGTCATACTTCTCCGAAAGGTATTTGCCCGCGAGTTAATGTAAGCAACCCAGTGGAATTGGAAATAGAACTGTAACCATTATTCCTTACATCTCCTGCACATCCAAAATTAAAATATCTGATATTTCCAATCGGCTACCCATCTAGTTACTGATCCGTCTATCGTTGCTTAACTTCGATGATCAAACGGGAACTGGTATTTCAATGTGATGTAAACTTAAGCCCCAAAAAGACAACGTTGACACCTATTTTTTTATATTAGTGTGTTGTTCGTAATTTTTCGACTTTGACGGGTGTGCTGATGAATAAAAAAAAATATTGGTTTTGAATTGTTTAGAAGATGAGACAAACAAATGTTTGAACACAATTTTTTATTCTGTCAGGAACATTAAGAATGAACAGAGCTCAATGATAATTACTGAAGGGGGTCTGTAAATGTGTGCAATATTCTTACAATAACTTATTTACCACCGATTAAGACTAAAGGATGATCTAAGTTCATTTTATGTTGGGGGGTATTTACGCATACATAGTCATACGGCCCAAGGACAAAAATGTCCTACTCCTTGCGAGTATTGACATGCTGGCATCAAGATTACATCTAGTCTCTTCGTACACATACGAACAAGGTGCCGCGGGTTTGGATCCACGATAACCAGCGTCTTGTACCGTATCAATTGAGGAATGCTTTGATTCCAAAGCGAGAAGTGATTTTAAAATGGAAGAAATAGATGTCGTTTGATCTTCGTTGGTGATTAGAAATGGGATTTTTATATCGGGCTTAATCCATGCTTAGGAGCGCGTCCGTGTTGAAGAGGGCACACGATCACGATTCCCGTAACTCATAAGAGAAATAGAGGTGTTACCTATAAATCTGACGCGGTATAAGCGGCGTATCTTGGGAAAGATAGCCAGAGGGAACCCAACCATCTCCAAACTGGTTTGAATTAAGAGTTTACCTTCTAAAGCGTTTGCCACACAAGGCTATAGAACAGAGGCTGTCATACTATTTTACCCACAGCTGGTGGAAGAAGTGTTTGATACATAGCTTTCCCAAGGCTATTAGCACGTAAATGGATGTAATGAAATCGACTGTGATTCGAATTCGTCTCTCAGATTCCTCATTTCGAGCCGCAACCCATTATTCCAATAAGTTTATTGTATTTAAATTCACGCCAACTATTCTCTCGTTTGTTTACGTATGCCACAAACATGAAAAGGTATAATCTTTTCATTTGCTATTAATAAGGATTTTAACCCATGCCAACTGACCAGATCAAGCGTAGTAACAGCTGCAAGTACCCTACGGGACAAAGAATTTCCGGGAATATGACACGTTATATCGCTCTCATCATTGATTTGTTTACTAACTAAACAACAAATGCCCGAGCCACACTTGAGGTAGACGTAAATTTGTTGTATGAACGTAAAAAGAGGGGGTAAGAAGTTCAGATTATGAGGATATTTATTTTCTCTTCGTTTTCATTTGGATAGCTTCTCTTGTTGGTTTCAACACAACTATGCTTTCTATCCGGTTCCAACCAAGGCTTATTCAGTGTTTTACTGAAATTTCTTTGTTATTCCTTTTTTTACATCAAAACTAAAGAGGCCCGCGATTTCTTTATTTCTGTGAGAAGGCCGAGTCATCACCTTTCCAATAAGTGATTTTTCACAGTGAACAATAATATTAATAAAACTTGATCAAAGATTGAACCCGGCATTCTTGGGGCGTCTCGGTAAACCTGACGATAATGCAGCATCTATAATTTGAGATGGAATCTACGACATCAATGGTTAGCAGAACTTGTATGTTAAGAAAAATGAACATACTACCATCAACGGCATAAGAGAAAATAAAAAAGAAAAAAAAGAGGGACAAGGAGGAATATATTAATCTATAATTATTTCTGAATAATAATAAAACAGAAAGAAAATATTAAAAGAAAAATTAACAAATCACTGATATGTAAAATTTAAATATTAATTTTAAGGAAAGGTATTTAAAAAATGCCAATTGTGAACTCGTAAATAGTATTGCGTTCAGCAAGGCAGCAATATTCAATCTAAACTTTTCACGTGTTAATACGAGTTCGCCATGAACTGACATCCGGGTGGTTCCTTTAAACGATTGCGTTCTCGGAAAGCTCGAACGAATCGGCCTCTAGATTATGTGACGTAAGCGTCATGTAGGTAAAATGTGAACAAATCAGCGGAATCGTTGGCTTAAAGGGACAAAAGGGAGGTATTTGCCTGAAGAATATTGGAGAAGAATAAAAAATTTAAGATAATTTTCCGAACAACTTGAATAAAGTAAATAACGGAAAAAGAATATTAAAATGATAAAGTAAAGGTAAAGAAGAAAATATGAAAGGTAATATGTAAAGAAATCTAAGAAAAAATATAAACTGTTCATGAAAAAAAAGAAAGAAAGAATGAAAGAAAGAGAGAGAGAGAAAGAATGAAATAAAGAAAGAATGAAAGAAAAAAGAAAGCAAGAAAGAATGAATTAATGAAAGAAAGACAGAATGAAAGAAAGACAGAATGAAAGAAAGAAAGAATAAAAGGAACAAAGAAAGAAAGAAGCAAAGAAAGAATGAAAGGGATAAAGAAAGAAAGGAACAAATAAAGAAAGAAAGAAAAAAGCAAAGAAAGAAACAAAGAAAGAAAAAGGCAGACAAACAGAATTAAAAGAAAACGGAAATATCGGCTCTAAAGTAAAGAATGAAATAAAAAAGAATGAATGAAAGAAAGAAAGTAAGAAAGAAAGAATGAAAGAAAGAAAGAATGAAAGAAAAAAGAAAGCAAGAAAGAATGAATTAATGAATGAAAGAAAGAAAGAAAGAAAGGAACAAAGAAAAAAGCAGACAGACAGAATTAAAAGAAAAAAGAAATATCGGCTCTAAAGTAAAGAATGAAAGAAAGAGAGAATGAAAAGAAGAATGAAATAAAGAATGAATGAAAGAACGAAAGAAGAAAAGGAAGAAGAAAGCAAGAAAGAATGAATTAATGAAAGAAATAAAGAAAAATTGAAAGAATGAAAGACTGAAAGAAAGAAAGAAAGAAAGGAACTAACAGAATTAAAGAAAAAGGAAATATCGGCTCTAAAGTAAAATAAAGAATGAAAGAAAGAGAGAGAGAATAAAAGACAGAAAAGAATGAAAGGAAGAATGAAATAAATAAAGAATGAATGAAAGAATCAAAGAATGAAAGCAAAAATGAAAGAAAAAAGAAAGCAAGAAAAAATGAATTAATGAAAGAAGGAAAGAAAAAATGAAAGAAAGAAAGGAACAAAGAAAGAAAGAAAGATGAACTGAAAAAAAAGAAAGAGAGAAAGAATGGAAAAAGAAAGAAGCAAAATAAAATATGAAAGTTACAGAAAGAAAGAAAAAAAAACAATGATGAAAAATTGAAAAAAGAATGAAGAGAAATATGAAACAACATACAGAGAAATGAAGGATAAAGAAAATAACTAAGTAAAGAAAGAAAGAAAGAAAGAAAGAAAGAAAGAAAGAAAGAAAGAAAGAAAGAAAGAAAAAAGAAAGAAAGGAAGGAAAGTCTGAACGAAAGTAGCCAAATAAAATCTTGGAAGAAAGCGAAAGAAACAAGACAATGAATGAAAGGTGACAGAAATCATTTGAAGTGATATATGAAATAGACATGATACAAGAAAGAAAGAAAGAAAGAAAAAACAAAGAGAGAAAAAAGAAAAGAAAAAGATAAAAAGAAAGAAAGAAAATGATGGATAATCTAAACGAAAGAAGTGAGATATAGAAAATATAAAAGAAAATACAAAGTGAAGAAAAATGTTAAAGAAAGAAAGAAAGAGGATGAATAAAAATCTAAAAGAAACGAGTGAAAAAAATGAAATAAAGAAAAAAGACAATGAAGAAATAAGTGAAAGATAATGATGATGAAGAGATATGAAAAAAAGAATGAATGAAAAAAAGAAAAAAGGAAAGAAAGAAAGAAAGAAATGACAAAATAATGAGAAAGAACAATGAAAAATGTAAATGATTATAATCAAGAAAGAAATAAAAAAAAAATAGCAGGTAAAAAAATAATATTATAAAACCACAAATGGAATGAACGGAAGGGAGCGAAATATATCGTCATAGGAAGGAAAGTAAAACAAAATGGCTGAAAGAAGAAGAGAGGATTGTGAAGATAATAAGAGTTTTGGTTCTTTTAATGGTTGCTGCAAAGAACTGGCAATGGAGCGAACAACTGAATCACAGTTCTGATCAAATTATTACACACTCTATTCTACTTTAGCTTCTTATGAAAGCTTTAATCAGGACAAATAAGAACGAGAAAAGGAGAAAAAATATCCCAAACTTCAAAAACAAACTACAAATATAACGTCAAAACGAAAAAATAAAAATAAAAAGCCAGTTTTTCTTAATTTTTATAACTCTGTTTTTGATAAACAACACGTGGCACACGTTTTACCAAAAAAAAGAAACCAATTATTTAAAAAAAAAAATAAATTAAATAATGAAAAAGAGAGAAAAAAATCAGACAAGAATAATTTTTTTCATTTTTAAATTTGAAATAAAAAAAATATTTTGGCAAAAAAAATTATCTTGGAACCGTTCTCAAACCTGTAAAGAGCGCCACCTAGGGGCGGTAGGCGTTTGCATACGCAAAAATGCAGGAAGAAAAATGAAAAATGAAAATGAAAACGCGTCTTCATTTGTCAGATTAGGACAACGATAACGAAGGGAAGTAATACGTGTTCAATCTGCTCGAGCCGTCTTGATTAGTAACGGGCAGTGATGACAGGCGGCGCTTCTGTCGGAATGTGGTGATGTGTCATCATTAGCAAGAACGCTCATTACTGAAAATTAGCCTCCGACAAAAAATCGTGTACCTTTTTGTATTAATATATATTTTTTTAAATGTTCATTATTTTTTTTGCTTCCGTTTTTTTGGGGTTTTTTTTTGCTTCTACATTTTCTTTAATAAAAAAAAAAATAACCGAAACATTATTTTTCGTCTTCAAAATCTGGACTTTTCGTTCTTGTATTCTCTCTACAAAAAAAAACAAACTGTTCTCTTCTTAAGGAATGTGTGTTTAATTATCTATCCCAATCAATAAATCAGTTCAGTTCAGTTCTTTCTTTCTTTCTTTCTTCCTTTCTTTCTTTATATCTTAGTCTGTTCATGTCTATCCCAGTTTGTCCATATCTATCTATCTATCTATCTATCTATCTATCTATCTATCTATCTATCTATCTATCTATCTATCTATCTATCTTAGTCTGTTCATATTTATCTCAGTATGTCCATATCTATCTATCTATCTATCTATCTATCTATCTATCTATCTATCTATCTATCTATCTATCTATCTTAGTCTGTTCATATTTATCTCAGTATGTCCATATCTATCTATCTATCTATCTATCTATCTATCTATCTATCTATCTATCTATCTATCTATCTATCTATCTATCTATCTTAGTCTGCACATATCTATCTCAGTATGTCCATATCTATCTATCTATCTATCTATCTATCTATCTATCTATCTATCTATCTATCTATCTTAGTCTGTTCATATATATTTCTGTCTATTCATATCTATCTATCTATCTATCTATCTATCTATCTATCTATCTATCTATCTATCTTAGTCTGTTCATATTTATCTCAGTCTATTCATATCTATTTATCTAATCTCGGTGTCAAAGAAGAGGTGTGTTTGTAAGACGTGGAGGAGAGGAAAACGTTTAAATATGTAATAAAATTACGAGGATTAGAATAACTGAGAAACTCTAATAAAATGGGCGTGGTCAAATAAATGGGGTAGCTGGGGAATAGTTAAAATTATTGCAGTCTCTAAAAAATATCGAAGAAATAAGACTAAAAATAAATGTCAGCCAATAGCTTCAGCAAAATCCTTTCATAAGGGCGAAAATTTTTAGCTGAAGTCATGACAACATTAATGTCCATCAAAAATTAATTACGGGAGTGTAATTATAAACTGCTTTCGAGTGCAAAAAACAAATTATTTTGATATCAGGTATTATCTGTCTTTAGATACTTGTCTATCCGGCTATTTTAATTTCCAAGCAAACCCGTTTGTAAGCCCGACAGCCAATTCCTGTTGCAGACATATGTTCAGGCACATTTGTGCTTGTTTAAAATTTTGTTTCAATTTGGTTTATATTGCAGCTATGTTAGATTTAGAGTATTTGGAAGACAGCGAATTATCTGTTGTGATCAAGAGTTTGAACAACATCAGTGCGGTTAAAATTTCTGTCACGATGGCTGGCGAATTCGTGCCGTCACAACCGTCGACGATTTTTGTATAGTTTCGTCTACCTTATTTGACTCGGGTACTATTTTCAGACTAAATTGTTGCATGCTGGGAATGTCTTCACAGACCAATCACTTTCTGAAAAAATCCTCAAGACTCGAACTTGGACTTCATAGTACTAAATCGAACGTTCTGTTTTCCAAGAAATATATCACCGCTGTTTTTGTTTCTAGCCTCATTGGGCACCTTACATTTATCATGCCCCAACGAACACCTACCATCGTATATAATCGTCTCAAGTACGCCTACAGACAACTCCGCCCGTGCGTGAAATACAATTTTTTTTAAATGTTCTTTTACACTCTCCTTTTGTGAGATTAGTCTGTGATAGACAGAAATAGAGGGAGCAAATTTGGGGAGTAAATATAAATATACAATGTATCAAGGCAAAGCTCGGAAAATTTAAAACGAATATAGTTCAGACGCCACTAACCTTTATGAGCAGTAGTCTTTGCGGGTCAGTTTGCAAATAGCAGAAAAATAATGTCTTCTTTATTCGGACTATTATCCTCATCTTTGTCACCATATCCATTACAACGTTTCGGCCGTTGTACGCTTCCGGCCTTCTTCAGGTAGGTAGACTGGTGTAGACTATTCTATCTCCAAGTGCCATATTTTAATAGATGTCAGTTGTCAGTTATCTTAATTCCCCTCTTTAAGTTCTCCACTGCTTTAACCGGGTATTGAACTGACACTCTTTGGGTCCTATCACTGGACCTAACTAACTCCTTTATCCACTCTGCCATGTGTCCTCAAGGTCTACCCTAGTGAGCGAAATAAAGGGTTCAGTTCGACATTCCAACTATCTGAAGAAGTCCGGAGCGTGCAACGGCCGTAACGTTGTAATAAATATGGCAACAAAGACGATGACAATAGCCCGAATAATGTAAATAGTGTACCTAATATCTCATCTCAGAAATATAGACAGACACTGAAGGGCCGAAACGTTGTAATAAATATGGCGACAAAGATGAGGACAATAGTCTGAATAATGTAAATAGTGTACATAAGACCTGATCTCAGAAATATAGACAGATACTGAAGGGCCGAAACGTTGTAATAAATATGGTGACAAAGATGAGGACAACAGTCCAAATAATGTAAATAGTGTACATAATACCTCATCTCAGAAATATATGATGACTTATAAGAAAATTCTGCAACTTAGACGTAAGTAAAATTGCTTAATATGAAAGGTCCTTAAATTTAGCTAGCACTACGTGTATGAAGAAATTTAAGGAAAAAGATTAATGATAAATGAAAGATTTAGAATGAGATGTCTAAATATTACTCCGAAATAAATGAATGAGAAGCTTGGAGCAACGGAGGCAAGTTTTAAGGTAAAAAAGAAGACTTTGAATCAGAAGGAGCCATCTAGAATCTCTGAGACAATTAATGGGGAAAGAGTACTTGGGAAATTTAACATTCATAGGACATATTTAAAGCAAGAAATATAGAGGCAACCAGCGAATAACCTGTAGGACAAAGACTAAGGTGTTAAAAAGGTTGCAAATATAGCTTACAATGACAAGGGGTGGAAAGTTTTAGAGAGCCGTGATGTCCCACATTTGGGTGAGTATTATAATAATAATAATAATTGGAAAATCTGCAACTTCTACGGGAAGAAAACTGAAAGAAACTGGTATGAACACCACCCAGATCCGGTTACGGAGATAGGACCTGTTACAATTCTATGGGACTACACAATACACACTGACAGAACAATCAAATCCAACCACCCAGACATTGTTATTAAAGACCACAAACAAAAAAAGTCCCTCCTTATTGATATGGCAGTCCCTGCAGACTGCAATATATCTTTGAAGATATTCAAAAAGCTGTCAAAATACAATGACCTTGAAATAGAAATCTCGAAAATGTGGCATATGGGAACATCAACAATCCCTGTTGTAGTTGGAGCCCTAGGACTGGTTGGAAAAGATTGCAGTAGACTAATTGAAGGGATTCCTGGAAGTCCATGCCTCAAGGAGATACAAAAAAATGTTCTGACAAGTGCAGCCCACACTTTTCGAAGGGCTTTATCTATGTAAATATTTTTTTGGCAGTGGACAGTGTCATGATGCCATTTTTAACCTTAGGTCCTTGGGCGGGACCCGGAAAGAAATGTGTAAACGCCAGAAATTAAAGGAAATAAAAATAATAATAATATAATAATATTATTATATTATTATTATTATTATTATTATAATATGTAAGTAAAACCTTCGATATGAATGATCCCTAAATCTAGCTTGCACTGCATTTATTTAGAGAGGTAAAAGAAAAGATATTTATGGAGGATTTAGAATGAGATATTTCAAAGCGAAAGAAGAGAGTTAGAAGTTTGGATGTGGAACAGGTGATCAACAGGCAAATGTTAAGGAAAAGGAAATCGAAAAAGGAAACATGGATTTGGAATCACGAGACACTTAAAAATCTTTGAGACATTTAGTGCTGAAAATTTGTTTGGAGAATTTAACATCCACAAGTCATACTGTAGGCAAGGGAGAGAGATAAAGATAAAATGGGAGAGAAGGAGAAATAACGAGTAACCTGCAGTATAGAAACTGAGAGAGTTAGAAATGGAAGTAGAAAGGGAGGAGAAAGAGGAGGAAAAAAGGGAGCAGAATAAGAAGGAGGTGGAGAAAGAAGCGAGAAGAAGGACGAGGAGGAGAATAATAATAATAATTAGGAGAAGGGGAGGAGGTGGAGAAGAAGCAGAAGAAGGAGGAAGTAAGAAGAAGAAGAAGAAGAAGAAGAAGAAGAAGAAGTGGAGAGGGGGAGAAGGAAGAGGAAAGGCAAGAGAATAAGAAGGAAGAGGAAGAAGAAGGATTTCTGGCTTCTTTAATCAAAATGTTGAGATTTTGAAGTGAATATTGATTGATTATTTTACCCAGAGAATAATCTTGTTTGCACGTTCCTTCATGAATATTCGATTTTTGCTAAAATACTCAAATTCTTCAGTTTGCTCCTTTTTTTACCATTTCCATTCTTAGTAACTTTATCAATTCTTCCTTTTTTTCCAAGTCTTTTTTTTTCCTTTTGTTTTTCTTTTTACATGCTTTGCTTCTATCTAAATTCATGTTCAAGGTCTAATTCCTCACGTCTGCATTGCATTCTACTTGATACTTTCCTTATTCCCGCGCATCAAGTTTGGTTTTGCAGCCACACCGCTCATGTCTGTGATTTGAATCTTGATGTCGTAGGTGAATTCTTCAGATAATACTTTCCCCCCTAATAACTTGGAAGTTAATCGGCATTTCTCGATTCTATATACTGGCTTTTTTATAAATGACACTTGAAAATCGTCTACGCTGCGTTGGGGTGATAAATAATCCCCCCCACGAAGGACCATTTCCCACAAATGAAACGTTGCGTGCCTCTCACCATTCTATCACTATTTCCCTGACATGTGTCCTGTCCAGTTACATTTTTTTAGTCCCACCACCCCTGACCTTTAAAACTGGGACCAGCCATACCATGTACACAAAAGTGAGTCATCCCCATTGTCCTTCCTATAGACAGTTACATTCAGACAGCTTCCTAAAAAAACCCCCAAAAAACCGCAGTTTTGTGAAACCTACACTTGGTAGGTTCTTTTCTCAAACACTACAATCTTAACCTCTTTAAGTCTAGAGTTAACTGTTATATTTGCTACATTGAACCAGGAACATCACTTTTTGCTCACATAATATCACTCAGTAACGGTTTATCTTCAGTGTCCCCCGGACCTTTTACATTAGTATTTAAAAAAAATCATGACTGAATGTTTTAAAATTCCTGATTTAGTCTACAGAAGAGACGTCGTATCTAGGATGAGTGACTCTATGGAACGATTCCTCATATCGTGTATATTAACATCATTTTAATATATAAACGACCATTAATGAACAATATCTATGTTGAGTAATCTTCGTATCATCTCTGTGTCTCTTCACACAGCCACATTTCAGATTGTAGTGTTATTACTGACCCCTCGTGGAAATTAGCATATAATTGTCATTTTCCTTCTTTTACAAGATAAGTTCTTTCAGAACGTTGACGAGAGTTTCTCTCTATAGTTTCTTATTGTTGTTCTTCAAGTATATTTGGATACTTTACAAATTTTGACCTTTTTCTGACGTTCATTGCCTACAATAAATTTTACTTGCTTCTTTTTCTCGTAGCTATCTTCCTTTACTTATAACCTGAGTGTTAAATGCAATAAACATTGTTACCTTATTATGTTTGACATAGATTCCACTTGTCTCATTCTGACTGTATGTATATTTTTCCCTAATGTTTCACCTTTCCATGCGATATATTTATTGCAAATATGTTCTGACAATTATAGTCTTAGAAGCATCGAAAGGACCACGTCTCTGTTGCATAAAGCTGATAGTATCGAGATCTTAATATTTTTTTTTTATATTCTATGGTAACGCCTTTCATCATTTAAAGGATTTCATCAGACTTTTAGAAGTCGAAAACTCGTTACACAGATTTTTTTTCCATTTTGTCATTGAAGAACATAATTTTGAAGTAATATATATATATATATATATATATATATATATATAGTTTTCTCTAAATTTTTTATGTTATGGTAGCGTTCTTCCTCAGTGTCATCCATGGGATATAGCTTTCTTGTTTATATCTATTATTTATGAATATTCATTTATCCATCTTTACATATTATTTCTGAATATGAGTTTTTAATTACTTTTATTTTTTCACTTTCTTTTTCATCGTTATTTTTCATTTTTTTCTCGTTAATTTTTCTCCTCTCTTTTCCCTTTTTCCAGCCATTTTCCTTTACATGTTTTTACTTCATTTCAGTTGAGTCATTTGCCGCCTTTTTAAATCTACGTCATACCTGTTTTCTCTCTGTCTTTTCTTAATTCTCTTTTTCTTCCACATACGCTCAGCTAATCTTTTCGTTGTGCTCATTTCCTTCATTTTCGTCGTTCTTTTTTTTTCAATTATTTCACTTATTTGTTTTCTTCTTTTTCATCATTTTCTTCACCGTTTTTTCTTGCTCTCTCTTTGTTTTATTTTATTTTTTCATTGCTTTTCTCGTTTATATTTTATTTTTTTTATTACTTTTCACATTTTTTATTTTTTCATTATTTTTTTCGTTTATATTTTATTTTTCATTATTTTTCTCGATTAAATAAACACAAATATCATTTCCTTGTGATTTTTTCTTCTTTTCGTTTTTCTAATTTTTACTTCATTTTTGTTTTCTACTTTCGTTTTCCTCTTCTTTCTTCTTTTTACTTCTTCGTCTTTCTTTTTTCCTTCCGTCATTTTTTTAAAAAATCTGTTTCTCTTTCATGCAAATTCATTTAAGGTTTCCATTTTGATCTTTCCTTTCATTTTATTGTTCATATATTTTTTCATTCACATTATTTTTATTTTTACTTCTTTTTCGTCATTTTTTCTCTGTTTTTTTTCTATTTTTCTCATTCTTATATTTTTAATTCCTTCAATTTTCTTTCTAATTCTTACATCAAAAAGTGCTTTTATTTCTGCAGTTCGTTGATATTTCCTTTTTTCTTGTATATTTTTCATTCTTTCATTCATTCATTCCTTCATTCTTTCATTCTTTCATTCTTTCATACAAACGCAAATATTTTTCCATTCTGTTTTATTCCTTTGTTTTCCTTATTCGTCTATTTTTTCTTTTATTTCATTTTTCCTTTTTTTAAATTAGTTTTCCTTCCTTTACTTCTCCTTCTTTCTTTCTTTTTTTTCTTAATTCTTTCTCTCTTTGTCTTTCCTATAAACCCGTTTATTCTTTTCGGTGTCCATCTTTCTTTTCGTTTAAATCAGTTTTCTTTTCTTCTTTTACCTCACTTTTTTTTCTGTATCCTTAAAAAAATAAATTTCACAATCTTAAGTTTTTTTTAAATACTCTTTTCTCATTCATATAAACAAAATGATTGTTTCCGTTGTGATTTCTCCTTTTGTTTGTGTTGTTCATCGATTTTTCTTTTCTTTGTATTTTGTTTTACACTTTTTTATAATTTTCTTTCTTTTCTTCACCACCATTTTTCCTGTTTGTCTCAATCTTTCTTTGTTTTTAATTCTCTTTCTCGCTCATAGAAACTATTTCCACTAGATCTCCTCGTGCTTTTCTGTTGACCCCCTTTTCCCCTCTGCTTTTTAATTATTATGAACTAATTAGATTTTAATTACCTGAGCTTTGCTCTCTTCTTACGACACGACAGCACCAAAATCCTAACGGAACTCGTGAATCTGAAAGAACACTTTTGATATTCGTTCCAAGGCCGCCATAGGCTACTATTAAGGCCGATATCAAACCCTGACCTAATTAGAGAAATGATATTGTAATTATTCGCCAATAGATAAATAAATGAGGGGAAATGCTATTATAATTAGCGAGATTTTAATTACATTTAACGTTGACCACGATTATTATGAAGTTTCAAGTTAGACAGGTGTAGTGTAATTGGCCATGGTTAAATGTCTTTAGCAGAAATGCTTAACAAAGAGAATTGACAAAGTTTCAAATAAGCAATAACAAGAAAGAAAAGGACAGAACAAAAATAAATATGAAGCAAACAAAACACACACACACACATATATATATATATATATATGCGTGTGTGTGTGTGTATGTGTGTGTGTGTGTGTGTGTGAACATATATAGAAAAATAGGAAAGAACACGTTAGGTAAATAATCAGAACATCTTTAGTATTTTTGTTTTTATTTTAAAAAGCAGTGCTCAATACAAAAGCAAAGCCTAAATTATAATGAATTATATATTATATATATATATATATATATATATATATATATATATATATATATATATATATATGTGTGTGTGTGTGTGTGTGTGTGTGTGTGTGTGAAAATATATATAGAAAATATGAAATAACACGTTAGGTAAATAATCCGAAGTTCTTTAGTATTTTTGTTTTTATTCTTAAAAAACAGTGCTCAATGCAAAAGTAGGGCCTAAATTATAATAAATTATAATTATATATATATATATATAAATAAAATTCGCTTGAAGATGAAATGGAACTAATGCTTTTAATTTAATTGCAAAATTAAATTCGGGGTTTTTAGCTTCTATTTTTGAAACATGGTTGGAACTGTGTAGCGAAAAAAACATATTTTAAATCAATTTATATATATATATATATATGTGTGTGTGTGTGTGTGTGTGTGTGTGTGTGTGTCCTAATACCTCAGCGCAGAGATATAGAGGCCGAAACGTTGTGAATATGGGAATGAAAATGAGGATAATAATATGAATAATGCAAGGAGACATAGATGGATATTGAAGAATGTTGTTAAAATACAAAAAGGGATACAGAAAAGTGATCGCACTTTTCTGATAAGATAGAACAGAAATATAGACGTATTTAACAATGTATACACTATTTATTTTACAAGGCGAAGCGTGAAGCGATAAAAGCTGGTCAACAAAGTCTATTCTACTCCTAGCTAAGCCGATTTCCCAATCTCCACAAGACGCCGTACCTTTCCATTCACTTTGAACATATACCAAAAAATCCTAGTGGCGCAGGAGACCGAATAATAACTCATGATTGGTAAAATAAATATTGATATATATATATATATATATATATATATATATATATATATATATATATATATATATATATATATATATATTAACTTTGTTTTTTTTTTTATAAAGATATATAAAACTTAATAATGAAATAAAATGATAAGCGGTGAAAATTTTTTAATCTAACTAAAAGACAAGCTAAATTTAAAAAATTTCATGAGTTATTGAGGAACGGCCCAACCTACAAACATGAGAAATCCTGCTGTTTCCTGTTGACGGAAGAGAGGAGCGGAAAGAATTAGAGAGTGGTAAAATGTAAACGTTTGATTATTTAATTAGGTTAAAAAAAAAGAAGTGTTAAGATTCCCTATCTGAGGAATAGGGAATCTTAAAAATGACCATGACAAAAGAGGATGTCGGGACGAGCCCAGGAACTACAGACTAGACTAGACAGTAATAAGGAGTGCCAGAGAAAAGCAAGGATATCAACAAAGTTGCAATATGAGCTCTGGATAAAAACATGCAATGATAACAGCAAAATTGCAATATGAGAACTGGTAAAAAATAATGCTGAAGACATTAGGTTTATAATACCCAGAAATTCATACCCAGATGTCCACAGTGGATAAAGACGTTGGTTAGAACTAGTGACAGGACCCAAAGAGTGTGAGTTCAATACACGATTAAGGCAGTGGAGAACTTTCAGAGGGAAATTAACAGGAGATAACTCATAACTGACATTCTAGTTCCACGTGCCATCAAACATGGCACGTGGAACTAGAACAGTCTACCCCATTGAGTGAAATAAAGGGATCAGTTCGACATACCAACCACCTGAAGAGCCCGGAGCGTACAACGGCCGAAACATTGTAATAAATATGGCGACAAAGATGAGGACAATAGTCCGAATAATGTAAATAATGTATATAATACCTCATCTCAGAAATATAGACAGACTCAAAAGAGACTAGATTAACCAGGGGTGCGATCCCATCAGAATCCGCCCCGCCCTGAACTGAAAGGAGTTTAAAAAAAGACGTCAATATTAATCAGATTCACGCGAACCAGGCTCAAAACTCGCATCCACCTTTCGTCGAAATCAATCGAAACCAATCGCTTTCTATTAGTTCTGATGAAGATCAATCTAATCTTCATCTCGAGCTCAAATAATTTATTCAGAGCCTGACAAGAACAGTGTTCGTTTCGTAAAATTCCGCCCATTCGTGTCACTCATACCGATATTCTTTCCACGGCTAGTGCGTGAGAAACATGAAACATTTCAAACCAGACCACGGCGCCGAGATATCGTCGCACTCGTACGCGGCAATCAATGAATACATTACGATACGATTCAACTCACTGATATGGTCCCAAAACGGGCGTACCAGAGGACAGATGAAGAAGGCGTGACCAGTCGTCTCTCCTAATCCACGATCAACCGGTGGCAATAAAGCATGTCTAATCGCGCCTTGATATCCACGTCATTGAGAAACAAGGTAACCTAAAAGTCATGGTTACTGAGGTAATACGCTGCTGGTGGCCCGGACTAGACGAAACACAAACCATTCGCCGACAAGCGTATTCGAAACAACCCTATCTATTAGTGCCCGATAAATATCTTCCTCGGCCGTAAAAGGTCACTGGACGGAAGAGTAACAGGTAAGACGACACTCTTTGTGAAAAGACTTCTGGCACCGGTAGATACGACGGCATTCAGTCCTGGTGTTGAAAGGTGTAATAGTAAGACTAGGGAAGGTAACCCTGAAACTTCTTGCACACAAATGTGCCTCTGTCAACGCGCCGCGTAACAAAAGCAGCCTCGAGACGTTACGGCCACTCACCAAGTGGGCCATATTACCCCATAAAATGAACGCTTGATACAGACCTTTAACGGATCATTGGCATACACAAAACAACAGAGAGCAGGCGCACGAGTACATTCAGGTAATCATCAGAAAGAAGCACTGACAACCGGTAAAGTTTAAGTATAAAGATGTAGACGTCGCATACCTGAGCCCTCCCCTTTAAGGATAAACGCCTCCGGAGCTAAGTCAGGATGAAAGCTCCTACTCTTACATATACATTCAGTCAATATTTCTCCAGCAGAACGTCAGGTCTGAATCACACTCCAAGAATGCGGATAGGACCGTCAATCCAAATGGAAGTTCAAAACCCTTTCAAGAGCACAACCGCAAACCGGAAGTCTTGTCACGATTAATCTTGGCCCACGTAATCCTCTCGTTTCTTTCATGTGCACCACCTCAATGTCGCTAGCGAACAACACAAAAATTGTTACGTTATCGGTGCATGCGAAAACGCGTGCGAAACAGATTCCGCATTGGGCCGGACTGTACGTCCCTGTCCTTCAGCCTGCACAGAATCAGCCTCAGCCTCAGCCTCAACGCCAAAGCATAAAGTATGGGCGACCGCGGACAACACCTCGTTTTCGTTCACATGTACCACTGTTTTGGGGAGTGATAAAGCAGGCGAATCGAATTACAGAATTAGAGTTTGAACCCGGCGGCCTGGTGAAAATCTCTCAGGTACTGATGGTTGACAATTGGCTTGGACTGATCCAAATCAATCAGCGTAGCCTTATCATCGTCTTCTACATCGTGTGGATCAGATGCAGATTGTTCTGAATTATCCTGTCATTCGTACCACAAGTCTGCTCTGGTCCCAAGACAATCTAGCAATTAACAGCAAACTTACCGTCAAGATAATGGCCAAAAACTTGTCTGTAGCCACCTAGTTCTATCCCACCGTGCATGTCTTCTTTTAATGGCGTGATTACTACCCTGGAAATCCGACAAGGGAGTGTAACCAGTTGAAAACCGCTGTCATGATAAGTACAATATGCCCAAAAGCCTCATGTACAATTTGTAGGTCAGACGATCAAGATTCGGATATTTGCTACTGCCCACCCTCTTCAATGTCATGTGGATTTTGTCCTCCGTGATCACGTCTCAGAACCAGCAGCCTCAGTCGACGATAGTGGAGGGAAATCAGCTAAATAGCTGTGAAAGTCTTGCTTCCAGAAACTAGGCATCTTGGGAAATCTATTTTGGAAAATTCTGCTGAAACGTCTCCCACATTACCCGCAGGGTACCTCTACCCGGGATGTTGACCTGACGAATGCAACGATTGGAACCTCGACCTCATTTCTTCATGCGCAATTATACGCCCATATTCAAAGCCTTGGTTCACCTCGCCCTAAATACCTGACCTTGATAGCCTTCGCAAGCTGAATATTCCACGGCCTGCATAGCTAACAATATCTCTAGGTGATTTCTTCTCTCCATTGCCTGGGACAGACTATATTTTAATGTTT